GGGGACCTGTCATTGTCCGGTGGAGTTATTGCCGGAGCATACCAGGTCATCGGAAGCTATGAATCTGCAAGTATGGGATAAGCCTGCGGCGTGGCAGTGGCGGGACCCAGAAAGGCAGAAACTTCCGACCCCCTTCATTTTGGCGGAACCCACCTTGGCCGAGTGGGGGTGAATCTGTCTGGCATTCTCGGGCAAACACCGGTGTTTGAAAAGACCATTGGGGAGGCCGCCTAGTCGTCTGTCTGATTGACTTGCTTGCTTTCGTGGCGTGTTTTGTGCTGTGGCCCTTGCGGTTGGAGGCGGAATTGAGCATGCCTGGCGGGTCTGTCTACTCTTATGTATCAAACTCGCTGGGATGTTGTAGCCATCAGGGCAGAAGCCTGCTGAGGTGAGGGGATTCTACTTGATTGACCGTTTCATTTAATAATCTGCTGTCATGTCTTGCATCGTGGCCATGCATTGCTGCAATCGAACGAAATCCAGTGGCAAGCAAACAAATCGAAAGCTAGAAAGATGTGTAATCGTCGCTGCAATCATTGGCTACCTTCAGTGCAACACCTGTACGTGGAATTATAGGGTTCTACTATGCAGTCGGTATTCATAAAGGAAAGAATTTAAAAATAGTAACTTGGTATTTCAGTCATAATTTCTATTAGATTCAGTGCAATTACGGCTGTCTTCAGTGCGGCATTGTTGCACTGGAGACGAAGTATAATGCACCGAAGACAGATTCCACTGTGTAGTGTAACTAGTGTAACATGTTAATAGTAGATTTGTATTCAGTGCAATTACGGCTCTCTTCAGTGCCGCATTGTTGCACTGAAGACGAAGTGTAATGCACCGAATACAGATTCCAATATGGAGTGCAATATTATTTTATCATTATTCAATGAATTACGACAAAGCGGATCCCTATGCATTGACGGCTACCAGCTATGCTATGGACATTAGCAATATATTAATACTATTGGATTTGTATTCAATGCAATCAGAGTTGTCTTCAGTGCAGCAGTGTTGCACTGAAGACGAATTATTATGCACCTAATAGAAACTCTAGCAGGGAGTGGAATCATTGTAATCCATTAGGAGTGGGTTTGTATTCAGTGCAATTACAGCTGTCTTCAGTGCAGCATTGTGGCACTGAAGACAAAGTATAATGCACCTAATACAGATTCCACTATGGAGTGTAACTAGTGTAGTATTTCAAAATGGATTTGTATTCAGTGCAATTACAGCTGTCTTCAGTGCAGCATTGGTGCACTGAAGACAAAGTATAATGCACCTAATACAGATTCCATTATGGAATGCAATTAGTGTTTTACATTTGTTTATAGATTTCAAATGCAATTGCGTGCATGTAACAAACACTCTAGCTGGACTGCAATACATGTAATTGGATCAGTATTTTAATGGAATTAGTTTGTTTTCAATGCAATTACAGTTGTTTTCAGTGCAACCTTGTTGCGTTGAAGACAAAGTATTATGCACCTAATATAAATTACAATATGGAATGTAATTAGTGAAATATATTAATAGTGGGTTTGTATTCAGTGCAATTACAGCCGTCTTCAGTGCAACATTGTTGCATTGAAGACAAAGTATTATGCACCTAATATAAATTCCATTATGGAATGTAATTAGGGAAGTATATTAATAGTGGGTTTGTATTCAGTGCAATTACAGCTGTCTTCAGTGCAACATTGTTGCATTGAAGACAAAGTATTATGCACCTAATATAAATTCCATTATGGAATGTAATTAGGGATGTATATTAATAGTGGGTTTGTATTCAGTGCAATTACAATTGTTTTCAGTGCAACATTGTTGCATTGAAGACAAAGTATTATGCACCTAATATAAATTCCAATATGGAATGAAATTAGGGAAGTATATTAATAGTGGGTTTGTATTCAGTGCAATTACAGTTGTTTTCAGTGCAGCATTGCTGCACTGAAAACAAAGTATAATGCACCTAATACAGATTCTATTATGGAGTGTAATTTTAATTAGTGTAAAAATAGTTATAGTGGATTTGTATTCAGTGCAATTACAGCTGTCTTCAGTGCAGCATTGGTGCACTGAAGACAAAGTATAATGCACCTAATACAGATTCCACTATGGAGTGTCATTAGCAATATACTCAAGGGCTTTTGTTTTCAGTGCAATTACAGCTGTCTTCAGTGCAGCACTGTTGCACTGAAGACAAAGTATAATGCACCTAATACAGATTCCACTATGGAGTGTAATTATTGCCGCATAAAAAAATTGCATCTAATAGGGTTCCTATGAGTCAAGTGGATAGAAGATATGTCTTCAGTGCCATCGGGTTGTTTTTTTGTTGGCAGTTAACTGCGTTTTGTGAAGCAATTGTGTGTCCAAGATGATTTGTCTGCAATGGTTTGGGCGTCGGTGTGTGTTTCAGTCAAAGGCCTTATGGCCGGAATTAGGACGGATGCAAGCTGTACACTCATGGAGGCTTTACGTATATCTTGGTTCTTAAAATTTTGTGTGATGATGTTGACTGAAGCACGGAAATCAGAGTAATTAGGAATTCCTAATCTGTTTCAATCACTGCATACGACTTTGCAAGTACACGGTATAGGCCAGGGTGCGAATATTTGCTGATGTTCTTCTGCCTCTGACCTGTGCTGGTGACTGTCTCTGAAGCAGTAGTGGCTGCAAAGTTTTTTTCGTGAATGCCTGCAAGCACCGCTCTTCTGAGGTATCTTTCACTTTCGACTTGCTGCTCCACCGTGTGATTGGGGAGTTGCGGCCTCAGACTGGCACTCCCCTTGCTTCCGTGGTTCTGCTTGAGCCTGAATGATTGTCATCGTTTGCCCGGCCTGATATTGCATCGGCCCCAGCTGCCTGAAATTCCTTGTGACGGATCGCGTGCTGTTTTGTCCTTCGCCATGCTCGGCTTTGCCATTCGGGACGACGTCAAGGCGGCCCAGATGCAGCGCTACGAGTTTTTTGACTCGCCCGAGGCGTGCTTTGTCGCAGCGGCAAGGCTTGAAGCCAGAAAGCGGCTTGATCGAAAAACGTGATTCGGTCATGTAATTTCTTTAGTTTATTGGCAGTCTGGTAACTAAGGCTGGACTTGAAAGTCAGCGATGCCCTTCCGCCGATGCCTGAGAAGAAGACGAGAAGGAAGACGAAGACTGCGGAGGCTGACGGTGTCAGTGTGTCGGCGGCCTCCGGCTCCAGCTCGTGGACTGGTTCCACAAACATCATGAAGTTCATGGGGTGCAGCACAAAGTTCCTTCGCCTGACGGTCCATGACCCAGCGTCGGCTATGACGGACAGGATCATCTCGCACGTGGCGACTGACGGACGAGCGACAGGAGCCCCTTTGTTCCGAGTTCCGGTTCAGACCATCTTGCGTCCGCCGCCGCCGAAAACAATGACCATGGATTTCTTCGAGGCCAAGCTGAACGTGCATGCGGGAGAGTACATCAAGACTGAGGATGATCGTGGGCCTGCCGAAGGACAGGGAGTTGTGGGGTTGCTGAAGCTGAAATAATTGTGATCCCTAAACGACACAGTGGCAGCCTCAGGGCCGTGGCATTTCTACCGCCTGGTGGACTCCAGCCTGAACATGTCCATGTCGAACGTCTTGTTTCGCAACACACCCGGGAATACACGGTCTGAGAAGCCCCACGTGTACTTCACCGGCTTCAGCGGGCCTGCCCTCCTTGCGTTTCTCATGAGTCGTGGGAAGAAGGCTGAGTGTCTTGGCCAAAAATTAAGGTCTAGGTCCTGCGGCCGCTTGCGGTCGCCCGAACCGCACAACGATCCAAGGGTTCTGCTGTATGAGATGTTCTTCAAGGAGCTGCCTGAGCAGCTGCAGCTGACTGACTGCCCCCTTGTCGCCGCCCGGCAGCACGAAGACACTCTCGTCGTATCGGGGCCGTTGTTTTTTTCCGCCACTTGCCACAGGACTACTGGATCAGCCCTGGTCAGATCGAGATGCAAAGCCTGAGGATGTTCAAGGCCGAGGTGAAGCTTGTGGTTTGGTCTGAGAAGAGCATGAAGGAGATGTTGGTCTCCAAGCTTGACGGGCAGATTTCGGCCACCATGAGCCGCCTGAGAAGTCTGAAGCGGAAGAAGGTGGACCTCATCAAGGACGGTGCCCGCCTTAGTCAGACATTTGATTTGCGCCTTGGGCCATGACAGCGGGCTTTTCGGCTGAGTGGGACATTTGAAGGTTGCATCCCGGAGTTGGACGACGAGCCTGACAGCGACAACTCCAGCATGAATGATTCGGCTGAGTAGTAGGCGAGGCTGTGCCGGCGTTTGATCTGAGACGGCAGAAGCACCCAAGATCAGTCTGGAGCTTCCGAGCTTGCGGTTTTTGACATTGAATGAGGGAGCCGAAGAAAATACTTGTGTTCGTGTGTGCAATTTTGGAATGCCGGCTGCACAGCCTGAGTGCCAGTCGCACCCAGGCCCATGTCCAGCAGAAGGCCTGGAGCCAAGATACCCGTTGGAGTTCCGACAGAACGACACTACTTGTTTGCGGCTGAGGCCAAGAAGTCCTGCTTCAAGCACGGGGATTCGACGTCCGAAGGCGGAAAGGGTCCACGTGCCCGGGTTGAAAAGTCAAGGGAAGTTTAAGCCATGTAACCCCAGGGCAGGTTGTGTATGATTATCATAATGTCGCTGTCACCCTATCAATATTGTCAAAGTTGTCCAAATCGGTTGGGGATTTTTAACTTGCCAGTAGAGGATTACACCACGATATTCACGGCTGACCATGCTAGTCGTGCTCGCATTTCCAAAGCAACAGTGATTATCCATCTGATATGTCAAGCAAGAGCGTGCAGAGTGTTTTGGACAAACATCAGAAAATTGTCAATCTCGTAGCCCTTCGAACTGTGGTAGCTCCCGGAGCATTATCTCCTTACAAAATGGCCAACAGCAGAAGCTTCGGACATATCTTTCCGTCATGGGTGTGGTTGCCGTGGTTCCGTTAGCGTGCCGTTAGAGTCAGACCCGAGGTGCAAAGACTGAGTAAGCTTCTGCAAGCCAACCGCTCCCAAGTGGGGAAGGCCACTGGACCCAGAGAATTGACCTCTGCAGGTCTGAGACTGGACGTCATGGCGATGGGTCCACGAGGAGTGGCTGCCTAAGAACTTTCGACTGGCCGAATAAAAGTTTGTGAGATAGTCGTCGGGTCTGCCTAGCGTACAGAAATACACCTCGGCCCGGGGCCGAGGCGTATTCCTGCACACTTGGCTCGGCGTACATCAGATGGCCTTGTATTGTGTTATTATGACCTGGTATAGATGTCATCTTGTCGCGGTGTACAAGAATACACCTCGGCCCCGGGCCGAGGCGTATTCCTGCACAGTTGGTTTGGCGTGCAACTATCTCACAAACTTTCTTTCAGCCAGTTAAAAGTTGAACGATTGACCCTCGCCTCAATCGCCCTGCATGCCTGAGGTACGTTCTCTGTTGGCCCTGGATTTCCGAACAGCCGATCTCTTCAGAAGGCCGGGACTGTCGGCTGAATCGTTTCAGAAGTCGGCTTGGCATGATGGGTTGACCACCTCCTCCCCGCAAGATTGCGGCTTTGAGAAGTCAGAGAAGACCGGGAGCTTGTTGAGGCGGCAGTGTGCCGCTCTGCCCCGGCTCTAGAGATTGCGGCTTTGAGGGCCGCTCTGCCCCGGCTCTAGCCTTTCCTTTTCCGGGGCTTTTCCGAATCCGAAAGCCATGGCTCCCAAAACTGGCCGGACGAGTGGGGCCAAGAAGGCGGCCAAGGCAACTGCCAAAGCTAAGGCTGAGGCCACGGCGGCTGAGGCTGCCGAGGTGGAGTCTGGGGACTTTGCCATGGAGACCGGGCGTGAAGCCGTGAAAGAGGCCCTGGACTTTTTGAAGAAGAAGAAGCTCTTTCCGGCTAAGGCGGAGAAGGTCGGCACTCACTCCATTCTTCCAGATGCCTGGCAGGGCTCGAGCCTGAAAGAGGCCGGCTGGCTTTAGATTGTTAAGAAGTAAGACTGACTTCTCAATTGGCGGTTCGGTCTCGTCTGACAGGCCTCCACATTCTCAGCGAGCCTGAAGGACGTTTCTGTGGAGACCCTGGAGGTGCCACCGCCTGAGGTGCTGTCTGAAGCGGCCGAGTATTGGTTCGAAGGGAGGTCTGATCAGACCTCCCTTTTCGTGTCGGCGACGGTGACGTCTGATGAGACCAAGTCAGGCGAGATCGTGCTGTCGCCTGAGGACCATACCAAGGTTGCGGCCTTGGTATGGGCCTTCGGCAAGGCGGCGGCTTCGTCTGACAGCGACCTCTGCGAGAAGTACCGCCGCTGAGCAGCCGCATCGTGATCTCCATGGTGCGTGGCAAGGCGTCTGACCAGGCAGGGACCGTGGTCAGTCTGATCCAGGCATCTGAGGACATCGGCAAGAAGGCTATGGAGTGTTCCAATGCGATGCCGTTCAACCTCGCCTCGCGTCTGACGAGGACCCCGGCCGGGGTTTAGTAGTGACTGTCCCATTGCCAGGATCCGTAGTAGTGACTGGCTTCTTGCCAGGATCCGGGCCGCCTTGTCAGCACAACACAAGGCCTCCACTCACGAGGAGGTGTTCTTGTTGTTGAAGAACATCCGCTGGAACGGCGAAGCCTACAAGGCCCGGGATTCCTGGCCTGAAACTCTTAAAACCGAAGCCCTGAACCCGACAGGTGAAGACATCTGACCAGGTGCAAAAGCTCACCACTATGCTTGACAAGACGAATGCGGCCGGCATGACTGAGTCGATGAAGGCGTGCCAGTATGTGAATAATTCGACCACGTGGTTCGGCAAGTGGAGCATCGTCACTCGCGTGCACCTCGTCCTATGAGACAAGAATCTCAGCACACACACACACACTGCATGCCGTCAGATACCAAGGGTCAACAGCTTGAAGTCCAAAGAGGAGCAGCGTTTCGTCATGTCGCTCATCTGTCAGGTCCTTGCCTCAGCAGCCACTGTCGAACCTCAGATCTTCTTGGAAGTTCTGCCCAGGAGATGCGGGAGGACAGCAGCCTGAAGGACCATTTGGGTGTGTCCCTGTCGACCAACACCCACATGCGTGACTTGAACAGGGACCAGGCGATGCAAGCGACAGGGATGCTGCATCTTCGCTTCATCGTGCTGGAGCGGCTGAGCCATCTGCCCATCCCGGACGATGCACTTGACAAGAAGACGGCCATGGATTTTCAGAAGTCTCTGCAGAGGTGTCTGAATCCGAAGGAGTGGGCTCAGCAAGGCGGCTTGGTATCCGTCGCGGCCTTCAGCGAGCCGCCGTACTGCAGTCTGAGTAAAAGGATTGCAGGAATGCTCCGGGGCGATGACGATGAGCTCTTCAGCACTGCTGTCACTTCCGGGCAGAAGGCGGGTCCGTGGTTGTGACAGTGACATGGCTTTTGCAAGCCAGAAATGATCAGCTGCCAGGAGGAGTTTGGACCCATCCTGGAGCTGCTGACCAGGTACAGCGACGAGTGGAAGATGAAATTGGGCCGTCTGAAGCCTGAGCCGCCGCTTGAGACCAAGCCTTCGCGTGAGCTGCTGCCCGAGACGGATCCGACGACTGATACGTCTGGGACTGGGACGACTCGCACGGCTGAACAACTCCGCGAAGTGCAGCTCAAGCGGGCGGTGGAGGCTGGAGTCTGTGTACAGTGTTTGCAGCGAAGCTCGTGTCCTCCGTTTGCACGACAGGAGGAAATGGCCTTCTACATTCACTTCTACCAAAGCGACATCAGGAATCCTTCCGCTGCCTGGGCTGATGCTCTGAAGCAACATCAGCTCCTTCAGAAGGACCGTGTCCGATGCATAGACCAG